AAACATATTTCATGCTCCTTGTCACTACTCAGAATACTATCCCGGGCCTTGAAAAGCAAGTCTTATGGAGACTTGCACCCAAGGAAGAATTGAGGCAGACAATGGGACTCATTTCTGGAACAATCTCATAAACACTTGGGCCAAAGAACATGGCATTAGGTGGGTATATCACATTCCCAATCGTGTACCAGCCTACAAAAAATTAAATGATACAATGGACTGTTAAGGACTACACTGAGAGCAATGGGTGGTGGGACCTTCAAATCGGGCTGGCCCTGCCCAATCAAAACCTTGATATACTATAGAAGAGGACAACGTTTCTGTAGCGCACATTAAAAATATGCTGGGGAAAATAGTCTGGGTTATTCCTGCCACAGGCAAAGGCAATCCCATTCATGGGATTGCTTTTGTTCAAGGACCTGGGTGCACTTGTTGGGTAATGCAGGAGGATGAGGAAGCCCAGTGTGTGCCTCAAGGGCATTTGATTTTGGGTGAGAATAGCTGATCAATAAAATTGTATTATGCTAATTGCTATATAGTACTGTGTATTATCACTTCCATGATGGGTATATGCTCATCACCACACTACGCATCTCTCAATGCTCATCTCCACCACTCCAGATTTGGGGATGTGAGTCTGACTCCCCTTCGATCACCACATTAATGAAGAATGAACTTTGATGAAACTGGAAAAGCACAGCAGTGATGTAATCTGAACTGGCTTTTACATGTGACAACACCACACACCATCTTTCCTGCCCTGAAAGACTGTCATGACAGATGGAACCCAAGGTCATGGACAAAATTAACTTGATGGACTTTTATAGAGATGGTCCATAGACTAAGGGAACAATATCTGTGTGTATATCTATCAAAAGGCAGGAAAGGTGGTGGTATGTTAGAAAGTGAGGGACCTGGCATGATATAAATGGTGTGGAATAAGGGCTGGATACAGTCCTGGTTTCAGATGGGACAAAGTTAATTTTCTTCTTAGTAGCTGGTACAGTGCTGTGTTTTGTATTCAGTATGAGACTAATGTTGATAACCCACTGATGTTTTGGTTGTTGCTAAGTAGTGCTTACCCTAAGTCAAGGCCTTCTCAGTGTGTCATGCTCTGCTAGTGAGGAGGTGTACAATAAACCGTGGGGGAGCATAGCTGGGACAGCTGACCTGAACTGGCCAAAGTGGTATTCCATACCATGGAACATCATGCTCAGTATATAAACTGGGGGGAGTTGGCCATGAACCACCAATCACTGCTTAGGGACAGGCTGGGCATTGGTCAGCAGGTGAGCAATTTTATTGTGCATCACTTGTTTTTCTTGGGTTCAATTCCTTTCTCTCCCTCTCCTTGTCATTACATTTTTTAATTATTGTTGATTTTGTTATTATTATTATTACATTTTACTTTTTTTTCTATTACTGAAAACTGTTTTTATCTCAGCCCACGAGCTTTATCTTTTTCTGATTCTCCTCCCCATCCCACCAGGGAGGAGCGAGGGGAAGTGAGTGAGTGACTGCATGGTACTTAGTTCCTGGCTGGGGTTAAATCACAAAACAGCATGTTCTCAAAACTGACAGTAACAGTGGTAAAATCATTTAAATATATATATATAATATAAATATATATGTAACTATCCAACAATGGTTTAAAGTACAGGTTTTCTGCAAGAAAAAAAATCCAAATTTATCTTCTTAAAATCAATTTGATTTGCGTCAGTACAAAATAGCACTGATTACTGCAGCGTTACACAAAACAAAGACTGTTTTTCAGTTATGTCCTCAGAGAAGAGAAACAAGCAATGAAGAATTGAACAAATGATTCTTCTTGCATTAAAAAGGTACCCAATGTTTTGATGTCATTAGACAACATATACTGTGTAACACTATTACAAAACACAGGCATGTGGAAAATAAGGTGATTGCTGACAGCCAACATGGCTTCAGTAAGAGCAGATTGTGCCTGACAAATTTGGTGGCCTTTTATTTATGGGGTTACAGCAGTGGTGGATGAAGGAAGAGGGACTGATGTCATCTACCTGGACTTGTGCAAAGCATTTGACACTGTCCCTTGACATTGTCCCGCATGACATCCCTGTCTCTAAAAGGGAAAGTTGCATTTGACAATGTAGCAGGATGCTCTGCCTGGAATGCAGTAAAACAATGCCCTATTTTGCAAAGCTATCAGTGGTGGACTGAGATGGTGTGTCATGCTGCTTTGGTGTTGAATTATGCTAAAACCAGTCTGACTCATCAACCCCAAAGTTAAACATCCTGATAGTGAGGTAAAGGTGTGGCAGATATGGTACAGTATCCTTATCTAAAAAATGCTAAGCTGACACAGCTGGCCTGGGGACACATGACAGACAGTCAATCACTTTATACTGTAAAAGTCCAGTCCCACTTTTAAATGGCAGGTTCTTCTAACATACCCCTTCTTGGAGCGTGTGTGGAGATTCCTCCCTTGGATGGGGACACTCCTCAAGGTCACTCCTTGAGGCTGAGTGAAAGAGATTTGCCTACAGTCATTGGGTATGGTATGGGTGAGTAACATCAATACCTAATAACTGGGTTTTTTTGCTAGCTTTAATATAATTGCTTTAACATCACTGATTTGATATAGTACACTATACTATACTAGTAGTTTTAGCTTCTATACTCTGTAGTAAAAAATTCTGATTAAGATCTTTTTGTCTAATCATTTATCATAATAAATCATTCATTTTTATATAAATATATCTGGTTTGCCATCCTTAATCCTGTGGGTCAAGTTGTACAAAGGTTCAATCACACCTCTATAATTCCTTAGGCTTAAACTGTTGACAAAGTCTGGGGCTAAGATTGGATTCAGCCACACCCAAGCTCCTCTCTGAAAAGGAGTTCAGAAAGCAAGGGGGTCCTTTCTGCACCTCATGACTCAACGTGAGGGCTTCTCTAATAAACTTTGTCTGAAGCCCCCACTCCACCCGCAACAGACAGATGGACCGCTTGGTGGATAAGGAATTGGCTGGATGGTTGCACTCAGAGTTGCAGTCAACAGCTCAATGTCCAAGTGGAGAGCAGTGATGTGTGGTGTTCCTCAGGGGTTGGTATTGGGATCAGTACTGTTTAATATCTTTGTTGGTGACATGGACAGTGGGATTGAGTGCACTCTCAGCAAGTCTGATGACATCACTAAGCCATGTGGTGCAGTCAACACGCTGGAGGGAAGGGATGCCATCCAGAGGGATCTTGACAGCTTGAGAGGTGGGCCTGTGCAAACAACATGAAGCTTAACAAGGCTAAATGCAAGGTCCTGCACCTGGCTTGGGGCAACCCAGAGCACAAGTACAGGCTGAGTGGAGAATGGATTGAGAGTAGCCCTGCAGAAAAGGACTTGGGGGTGTTGGTGGACAAGAAGCTTCACGTCTCGGCAATGTGCGCTTGCAGCCCAGAAAGCCAACCATATAAAAAATAATCTGCATCAAAGGCTGCATCAAAAGAAGCGTGACCAGCAGATTGAGGGAGGTGATTCTCCCCCTCCACTCTGCTCTTGTGAGACCCCACCTGGAGTACTGCATACAGTTCTGGGGTCCCCAACATAAGAAAGACATAGACCTGTTGGAGCGAGTCCAGAGGAGGGCCATGAAGGTGATCAGAGGGCTGGAGCACCTCTCATATGAAGACAGGCTGAGTGAGTTGGGGCAGGGCTGTTCAGCCTGAAGAAGAGAAGGCTCCAGGGTGACCTTATTGCAGCCTTCCAGTACCTAAAAGGGGCCTACAAGAAGGCTGGAGAGGGATTTTTTACAAGGGCATGCAGTAATAGGACAAGGGGGAATGGTTTCAAGCTGAAAGAGGGTAGATTCGGATCAGGTATTAGGGAGAAATTCTTTACTGTGAGGGTAGTGAGGCACTGGAACAGGTTGCCTAGAGAAGTTGTGGATGCCCCATCCCTGGAAGTGTTCAAGGTCAGGCTGGATGGGGCTCTGAGCAACTTGGTCTCATGGAAGGTGTCCCTGCCCATGGCAGGTGGGTTGGAACTAGATGATCTTTAAGGTCCCTTCCAACTCAAACCATTCTATGATTCAATGAAAACTGAAGCCTGCACATTTAGATCATGTTTGGTAGTATAACTGATGTGGTACATTCCCTCTGGCCAGCTTTTCTGTATGTAAAAGAATTCTAGTTGCTGTGTTAAAAAACAATAGATGAAAGAATGCAATAGTGATGTTGCTGCAACATTGAAAACACTCACCTTTTTAAAGTGTAAACTATCAAATACACTAAGTTTCTTTTTTGTTTTTTTTTTCTTGACACTTAATGGAGTCAAATATCTTTAGATTGATAGTGTAAATGATCAAAAGACATTCCTGTCATTGTACCATTTCTTAATGGGTAAACTTTAAGGATGATATAGTAATTTTATTTCTCCTATATTTCAAAGCCTGTTTCACAACAAATTAGCAAAGCAAACAACCTCTGAAGAATTAAAAACTGCCTCTAAAGCCTTTTTCTTCTGGCTTTTAAAAAATACAGCTTTATATTTACAGTACAGTACATAAAAATACAGCATTTGTTACCTAGATATTTAGAAGTTCAGGACGGCTTTCTACTAGCAAAATCAGCCAGTCTGTCTGTTCAGGGTATGAACAGTAAACTAATTGTTCCATCCACAAAACACAGATAGCTATTTCTTTTTAAAATACAAAGGTTACAAAATAAAATTATGCTACATGGCACAAAATGTACCATGAAACCATAAAAATTATTATGCTATATGACACAAAAAGTACCTTCTAGTGTGTTTTACCTGAAAGTAATACTGAAAACATGCAGCATTTAGAGGGAAAGAGTATCTGTTCAGAGACAAAGTTCCTAGTTACTCTGATCTGGTCAGTTTAAGTTACTAATTTTCTCTACAGGGACACTTGTCTCATAACTCAGTAAGAAAACTCAGTAACCACCACCCCTCAACAAAACCACAGTATGAATTCTTAGTCCAAAATAATAAATATACCTACCTGTGTTTTGAGTGTGATCTTTTCCTTCTAGATCGGGATTTTGAGCTAGACCTGGATTCTGAACAGGAATGGGAACGAGATCGACCGCCTTTTCTTTCACTGCTCTTTCTAGACTCTGAGAGGAAAAAAACACATTGCAGTGTAAGCTCAGAACATTTAAAGATCCCAGTTAACAATCTGGTGCAAGTGGAATGTACCACACATATAGTGCAAAGGGCCTATGCTTTGCACATCTTCCTTCTTTGCAAATATCCTTGAGAAACATCCAAGAAAATCATCGCACATACTCATTGAGTGCAGCCATCCTGTACCAGTACACATAAACCAGATAACTATAAACAGCAGCTAGCTCTTTTAGGAATGGGATTTATGTTGCTGCCACAATGCACAATATTACAACACGTTCTCTGGTATATTATTTAATATAACTACTTTTTTTTTAATAACCTCAGAACAGCAGAGTAAATTTAGAGGGCAGAGTTTTCAAAACAAGCATAAAATGTAAATAATAATTAGTACTTTTTATACTTTTAAATATTCCAATGACTGTACAAATATTGAAGTTCTATTCCTCAAACACTGTTTTGGGGGAGGAAAGAAAGGAGAGCAGGGAGTAAAAAGTTTTATCCAAAGGCCAAGAAGTCAACAGAAAACTTACCAGTAATCTCTGCAGACTATGGTTCAGACTCTAAAAGATTATTATTCTGCTGCTTAACACTGAGGAAATGTTAGAACTATTTTTCTCCCAACCCTCAAAAAAGACAGAAAATACTCTATCCCCTTCCCCCTAAAAAAAATAAAAGTTCAAGATCCTCTACTATCTCACCTACATAATTCAATGTCTGGGTTTCTTAGTAAGAAGAATGACAAAATCTTGCTGATGAAAAGAAAAAGGAGGATTTCAACTGCAAGTTTAACAAGTTGAGAATTTTTTATATTGTGGGTTTGCAATCAGTTAAAGTCAGTATAAATCAGCATTTAAATGTCTGTCTAACCACTTGAGCCACTGACACCTTCCTCCTTGACCTGACATTTCAGTGTTAACAGGGATCAGGGAACCAATCTGAATGAAAAAAAGGCTGTTACAATATGTTAAGTTTTATCCCAGATTCATTCTCTAATCCCATTTGCTATGAGGATGCACATAGTCTTGAGGCAGTATGAAAAAGAGCATAGCACAGTGGCAAAATTAACCTGTCAAAAAAAAGCATAACACTGCTGCTTTCAGCAGCACACTAGCTCCCTCTGATCATGGAACTATGGCATTAATGGGTGCTACAAGAGAAAAAACCCAAAATATAATGCATTTTTTAAGTTTGTAAGTACTTTGAACTTTAAAAGCACCAACATTATTTTCTTTTCCCCCACACGTTGCTCACCTTTGAGTACCCTTTTCTCATGTTTTAAAACTCTCTTAAAAGCATATGTCAAGGTACACATAGAACATGTCTGTTAGGTAATGAACATAATATACCTACCTGGTTCAATAGCAGCAGATATGAAAGACTGGGCTTCCCTTACTCTCTTCATCACTTCTTCCAGTTCCTTGGCAGCAGCTTGTGGTGTCATTTCAGGAGGTTTCACTATTGCATTATTGGAGTGATTTATTCTAAATTAAGAAAAAATAAAACCTTGAACTTCCAAACTCTTGAAAAGGAAAAATGAAAAACAAATAAGAAAAAACCTCAACTTCCATGTATGACTAAAAACTTCAAAGTTCAGCAAAACTACAGATTTTTCCTAACACTCATCTTTAATAAGTATCTGAAATGTCTCTTTTATTGCTTTCAAATCTTATGACTTTTAAATAATTGCAGCACGATATTTCTGTGTTATTTTTAGTAGAAGTCTAGAAATCTATTTCAGATCAAATTTCTACATCAATGCCTACTAATTACATGCACGTCATATATAAAGCTTAATAAGTGCAAAGGACTTTGCATATTCTCTCACTAATTCAAGATTAGATTTTACTCAATGCCATCCATATTCTTCTTGGAAAAAGTTATATCCAAACTTGAAATTTGAGTTCATAAAAGCATTCTAGTTTACTAACAATAGGCCCTTATATTGAAAAGATATTAATCACAGCAGTTTCCTTCACATCAGAGTCATAAATGTATAAAGATACTAAGAAATCTCTCATTCAATATTCATATGGATAATTAATTTCTTACTTCAGTGGCCTGTCTCCAAACATAACTCCATTAAAGGCAAGAGCTCGAGGTACAGAATTTTGGTCTGCAAATTCCACAAAAGCAAATCGTGTTGGTTGTGTCTCATCACCTGCCATTCGCACAAATTTGACTTCTCCAACTTGCTTAAAAAATTCAAGCAGCTGATCTGCTGTTGTAGTCTAGAAAGAGTCAAAGAACTCAGCTGAAGTAAAATATATAATGAAAACCACTTATCCAACATATCAGATGATCTAAGCGCTACAAATTTTGGAAAGATATCTCATCATTATTACACAGGTGACATGAATTTGGTAATGTTACATTTTAAGAAAGGTATTTTTTTCTTCCATTAATCTAAAAAATATACTACAATTTAAAATAGTGCAACCACGAGCCCTGAAGTCCTACATCTAGGTTAAAAAAGTACTTGTACAGGATTTTGCACTTTTCAGACAACTTATTTGAAATAACTGATCAATTTAAAAAAATCCAAACAGCATTACAAGACTTCACTTTTATCTGTTTTTCTACTAGTTTCAAGCTTGTTTTATTTCATTGCATACTTTTATACTCTAGTAGCTACTTTGGCAGTCAAAAAAAACGAAAATTAAATACTTCTATTTCCATCAGTCAAAAGAAAATTGTTTTTCAATTTGTTTAATCAATTGCTGAAAAAAACATATTCCTGACAGACCTAACTTTCCTGTCAGAGCAACTTTAATATATTTATGCTAATTTTGCAACTTCAACTAGGTCAAATCATTTCTTCTTAGTGTACTTAAGCAACTGCACAGTGTTGTGGGGGACAGCTACCATGCTCTCACAAATTCTGGGGCATTGTTCAGCTAATATAACCCAGCTGGACGTTTGATCAATACACACAATCATAAGTATGTTTCTTGAATTCAGCTATAGCGTGATTTCTATTGTTTCCTGCTAGAATGAATTCCACAGTCTGATCTTATCTGATTGGCAAAAGGATACTGAAGAATTTGAAATATCTCTAGTAACCAAAAAGAGTATTTTTGTTTAAATTTCTATTGGCATCAACTAATGAAAACTCTTAAAATGCAAGATTTTAATTCACAAATTCCAATTCTGCATCTTCCATTATTATTGCCAACAAAAACCAAAAAAGCTACCTGTGAATTCAAGTTTCCAACATAGACTGTTCTTCTGATTTCATCAATTTTGGATGGGTCCACATTCCCCATAATAGGTGGCTGTGGTATTTCTCCCAGTGTTGTAATGTTAGGGTCCAATGCTGCTGCTGGTATAGCCCCCAAAGTGCCAAGTGAAACACCAAGCTGGGAAATATAAAAATAGGATGTTTTGCAACCAAGCACTGGAAGGAGACACTTCACCTTTTAAATACTTGCCTGACTTGTGCATTTCTGTAAAAATAAATCTAATTAATATAGGTAAGATTTTAAACTGTAAGGTCCCAGAATGGGGAAGTGAAATTTCTCCAGGGGAATATTATAAAAAGTCACTTAAAAATGACTACTAAATTGGTCTGCTGAGTTCCTGGTTTGAATTTTATTTTCTCCACCCAAAAAAGTAACTGCCTTTCCATCAAACAAAGCCACCAATAGTTTTTTTTATGTAACAAACTACTCTCTTTACTTGAAATCATCTTTTTGTTATTGAACAGAGAGTTATACAGCTTGACTTCCTCTTTGATATTCTAAAATTCACAGAATATTTATTAAATATGTATATAAAAACAAAGTGAATTTACCTTAGATGGTTAATTTAGAAACAAATGTCTCTAAACACCACTATTACACTGTGGTGGGTTGACCTTGGCTGGGCACCAGGTGCCCACCCAGCCGCTCTATCACTCCCCTTCCCAGAGGGACAGGGGAGAGAGTAAGATGGAAAACAACTCATGGGTTGGGATAAGGCAGTTTATTAAAGAAAAAGCAAAGCGAAAAGATAACACGGTTTATTCTCTACTTCCCACGAGCAGTGATGGTTGGCCACTTCCGAGAAGCAGGGCTTCAGCATGTGTAATGGTTCCTCAGCAGGCAGCCATTGGAGACAATGCCTGCCTTCCTGCTCCTTGCCTTAGCTTTTACATCTGAGCTGATGTCATAGGGTCTGGAATATCCCTTCGGTCAGTTTGGGTCAGCTGGCCTACTTGTGTCCCCTCCCAGGATCTTGCCCTTGATTGAGGAAGGAATGTTACAGTGTTGGTGCTGTGCTCAGCAGCAGCCAAAACACCAGTGTGTTATCAACACCTTTCTAGCTACCAATGCAAAGCACAGCACTGTGAGGGCTGCTATGGGGAAATGAACTCTAGCTCAGCCAGACCCAATACATACACCAGTCCTCTTTAATATCTTTATCAATGCTCTGGATGAGGGGATCAAGTGCACCCTCAATAAGTTTGCAGACGACACCAAGATGGGTGGGAGTGTTGATCTGCTTGAGGGCAGGAAGGCTCTACAGAGGGATCTGGACAGGCTGGATCAATGGGCCGAGGCCAATTGTATGAGATTCAACAAGGCTAAATACTAGGTCCTACAATTGGGTCACAACAACCCCATGCAACACTACAGGCTTGGGAAAGAGTGGCTGGAAAGTTGCCTGGCAGAAAAGGACCTGGGGGTGCTGGTTAACAGACAGCTGAACATGAGCCAGCAGTGTGCCCAGGTGGCCAAGAATACCAATGCCATCCTGGCTTGTATCAGAAATAGTGTGGCCAGCAGGACTAGGGAAGTGATTGTCCCCCTGTACTTGGCACTGGTGAGGCCACACTTCAAATACTGTGTTCAGTTTTGGGTCCCTCGCTACAAGACACTGAGATGCTGGAGTACATCCATAGAGCAATAAAGCTGGTGAAGGGTCTGGAGCACAAGTCTTATGAGGAGCAGCTGAGGGAGCTGGGGTTGTTTAGCTTGAAGAAAAGGAGGCTCAGGGGAGCCCTTATCTTTCTCTACAACTACTTGAAAGGAGGTTGTAGCAAGGAGGGTGTCAGTCCCTTCTCTCAAGTAACAAGTGATAGGATGAGAGGAAATGGCCTCAAGTTGCACCAGGGGAGGTTTAGATTGGATATTAGGAAAAATTTCTTCACCAAATGGTTGTCAAGCATTGGAACAGACTGCCCAGGGAAGTGGTTGAGTGTGGTGGTTTGAAAAACCTTTTCTCTGGGGCTGTAATGGTTTGCCCCACTGATAATACTAGACCAATCAAAGGTTCATATGCGCCCTACGGAAATTACATACCCACAGCAACGGAAGAGAAGGTGGTGAAGTGTTTTTTTTTAGTTGGTTGGTAGCCATGATCTGAACCACGAGGAGGCAGGGGGCCAGTCAGCCCCTCTGGGGGCTGAGAGCCCCCAGCCCTAGCTGAGGCTACGAGAGACCCGGTGTAGTGTCAAAGCTGGACCGGGTCCTGTAATCAAGAGGTGGGAGAATTTCCTTACTGTCAGCAGCAGCAGAAAACATTGAAAGCGGCAGCGGAGCAGTCCTGAACAGAAACAGCGATGGTTGAAAGCCAAAAAGATAGCCAGTAGCAACAAGATAACATGAAGCCGGCTGAAGGACGCAGAGATGTTCCTGCAGGAGGGAGAGCTGGCAACGAAACAGAGGAAAACTCAACAGAGTTGTTTTGGGGTAAGACTGTATTAATTTCCCAAAACTCAGAGACCTGTTGAAGAGGAGGGGTGGACTTCCAAACCTTTAGGGAGTCCCAAAATGCAGCAACAGCTAGAGTGAGACAGAGGAGCCGAGAAACCCGGAGTCTCCTGAGAGCTGAGCCAGGATGGAACACGGGGGAGGTGCCCGTGCCCTCTGCTGCTGCTGCTTCTATCGTGCTGGGAGTCTGAGACAGAGCAAAAGAGCTTTGGTAAGACTGAACTGAAAGCTGCCTTCAATGTACTACCCCAAGAGGAGTGAAGATCTACAAGGAAATCCCCCGAAGGCTCGGGCTCGGGGTTGAAATTTCCACAAAGTAAGAACCAAAATCCTGACTGCCATACTTATATCTGCTGCCGTAGGAAAATGAAGGACACTAACCAGTGCCACAAAAAACTGAAACGAAGGAACTGTGGCCTGTGCAGTGACAGAAAGACTTTTCTCTTTCCTTTTGGACTTTTATTGAAGGAAAAGAGGAATTTAATTCAATGTAAATATATATATATATATATATAGGTGTGAGTAAATAAACCTTTGTAAATATTTTTCCCTTCCCCCAATAACGAATGGTTGTGTTTTGTCTGAAAACTCTCCACATGAAGTGAAAAAGATATCAAGTCCATACCATCACTAAACCCTCTCACAGGGGCAGACTGTGGGAGGGGGGCTTGAACTTAAAAATTAGATCCTTGGGAGTTTCAAACCACCACATTGAGTCACCATTCGTGGAGGTATTTAAAAGACATGTAGATATGGCACTTCGGGACATGGTTTAGTGGTGGACTTGGCAGTGTTAGGATTACGGTTGAACTCAATGATCTTAAAGGTCTTTTCTAATTTCAATTATTCCATGATTATTTATGGTTCATTAGCAGCAATTATGCAGTGGAAACATGAGTAAGCTCATTTTTTTAATGAAATGCCTAAACTATTACTTCACATATCAATGAAAGCAGTATCATATATTTTAAGACAAAAAAAAAGCCAACATTCTTGTAAACTAAAAATTATTTTCAAAGTCATCCAATGTCTCTCATACAATGACAGTTATGAACCATAAACAGAATTAGTCTAAACCTCTAACTGGTGATTTTGGGTACACTGTTTCATTATAAAAGTTGCACTCTTTAAAACAGCTCTTGGAGCACAAGCTTCAAAAGATACTGATGTTTGTGCAGGTTTTTAAAATAATGCAGAAGAAATCAAACTTGATTAAAGCAATGTTTTTATGGAAGGAAGGAAGGAAAGAAGGAAGACTAATATATTCATTTCTTTTAGGATGTTGATCAGTATCAGCTAAGAATATGAGAGTGGGAATAATGTTTCTGGTCATGGAGACAGATGAGGAATCATTTAAGTACAGATAGGTTTGAGAATCTGCAGGATACCCTTAACTTGAGTCAAAAATCCAGGATGGTACCAGTAACATCAATACACACACTACTGCAATATGTTTGGAAGACTGAGGACTTTCATCTTCAAATAACATGGGGTTATTGACATTAAGCCCAATTTTTTGACGTAGGATTTACTATTTCCAGAATTCTCGCAGATTAGGTCACAGCAGCTTGCTGATGTCAAGAAAGGCTTAGAGGCAAAAGGGAATTGAGCAAAGCAGCAGCAGCTAGCTCCTATGCTTTTTGCAGTGAAAACATTGTTAGGCTAACAGTCAAAACCCATGTCATAGAGATAGCAAGGAAAAGCATCCTATTGTAGCATTTTAATATTATGAAGAATTCTGTCAATTTAACTATGATGTTTTAACAGTTTATTAGGAGGTGGATAGCATTGCCAGTGGAACAAATTAATGGGTGTAGGGAAGGGACAACAACTAAAATGAACACAACCAAACCCAGTATTTATCCACTATTTTGCATAACAAGAATCTGAAAGAAACACCCAGGAAAGGTAGTGCATGGACATCTTGTGATCTACCCTCAAAAGAGGCACCACAGCTAAATCCTCACTGAGTATATAAGAGGACAATGTCCACAGATCAGATAGTTCTTGTTCTCTGAACACAGAAAGGCTACCAAGTATAAAGTAAAACCAGAAATCAAATAGGGACTGAATTTTACTTACTGTAGTCAAAGGGGTTGGTGTAGGTATAGGAAGCAACCCTGCACCAGGCATCAGGCTTGCCATAGTAGGAGCAGGCGCCAATAGAGAAAGGGCTTTGGCTTCATCTGGGATTTTACCTGAAGAAGCAAATGAAAGCGTTACACAGAGTTGGAACAATACATAGATGTTACTCTTTCTATGATTTTACAATTACCCTTGCATTTAAAAAAATAATAAATAAGAATGAATCTATGTACCAGATCCTTACAAAGAAACAAATACAAACTTAAGTTTTTCCTTTTACCCTGCTCTACTAGGAAAAACAAAAGTGAGCAAAACTTCAAAGACTAGCAATCTTATTAATGGATTATTATTTTAAAAACTGAATAATGTACACAATTATTTAACACTTGGAGCTATGGGTCACCTGTACTGGAAACTTAATGTTCATGAACCAAACGATATCAAGCATGGACGCTTTCCCAGGGCGGTGTTTTCATGGTGATCGAAAGTTGTTTTACACATGACAACCGTTCGTGTTGGCTGCATCACTAATAGCACACAGAACATCAGATACAGAAAAGAAGAACATTTTTTAAAATTTAATCCCCAAAAATGGCAAATAACCAAATCAGTTTAAAAAAAAAGGAACAAAGTATGTGCTAACTGAAATTAGCGAGCTTTTTCACCCTCTGGTGTTACCTACTTTTGATGTAAAAATAAATAAAAATAAAATAAAAACTACTGTGACTCCACACAAGACATACTACAAGTGAAGTTGGGAGTGGAGAAAGGGAGGGCAGAAAAATTCAGATTTGTACTGTCTTACATTCTAGGTCACCTCAGTTTATCTGAAACTTTGATAAATTAACTTTAAATTTACTGAAATTGAAGAAAATCATAACTGATCAGCTAAGCAAGCTATATTTTCCTATAATATGTATTTCCTACTATGTCAACCATATTATATTTTCCCTGTCATGCTAAAGTTTAAGCAATATCTAATCTGTACTAAACACAGGTTTCATTTAGTTAGTTACAATTAGACTGCTAAATAAATAATAAAAAATCTTCAAAAATCAAAAGATGTAACAGTTAATTACAAATGCAATTAAATGTATGTTTTAAATTTGAAATGCAAAGGGATTTAAACTGGTACAAACATTAAATACTGAACTGAAAAAGTACAGAAAGTTCTAATTATGCTAGGTATCTATGATTTATTCAAAATTACTGGAGTAACTGTATATATGCTATCCAACTGAGCCCTTTGGTTATTACCCCATGTACTTTAATAAGGTAAATGCTTTTACTTAAAACAATGTTTTAAAAGTCAAGGTATATACAAATACTGTGCCAGTGGCTTTTACTGCTTTGGTTCAAACTGTATATATTTTAACTATAAAACCCCTAATGTCAGGATTTAAAAATTAATATAAATAGTGTTATAAAACCCCAAAATATAACATTATTTTCAAAACGTTGCAATTTTAGCTTTATGAGTGAAAATAAACTCCACGGGAATGATACTACTTAAAAAAAAAAAGACAAAAGTTGAAAACCTGTTCTACAGATCTGCAGCAAGGACTAGGTTAGAGTTGGAGAGGACCAAAGAACAAAACAAATATAAATGAAAATTAATTTATATGTAGCATGAATGGAATAGAAAAGATAAAATAACAGTACTCTTCTTTTTTTCTCACACCTTCTATTTAGATTTATTTTATTTATGTTAAGTTTTGAGGCACCTTGCTCCTTAAGATGTAACAAACCACTTTGTTTTGCTATTTAAAGGAGAAAAATAGGAAAATTATTAACACTTAAGAATTAACTGTGCAATTATGTCTTCCAGGGCTTTTATAAAAACATGCATAAATCTGAGTCATCGTCATAATGTTGAGCACTCTTTACAGGTCTCATTTTGAAGTCAGACATGCAATGAGAGGTGTATCTGATTTGCCAGACTGCTCATGAGAATCAGGTACCTTGCCTCATATCGTGCCTACTATGTAGCTAACTAATAGGCTTCCAAATATACAGTTCCAACAACTGTATGTGCAAATTAGGCATACAATTAGATACCAGTTCTTCTGAAAAACTAAATACTTTAGTATTTTCAAATGACTGCTGAGCCAGCATGTTGCAATTAACTGGATACTCATATAGGTTTCTACAGGATCAAGACATGGCTCAAGTAAATTCAATGGCAGAAATGGCACCTAAAGTGGTACATCTGCATCCTAATTTAGATCCTTGGTCAATAGTGTACATAAGCATATGCCTAACTTAAGTACGCACTTACATACAGCCAATTCAATACACACTTAACCAGATAAACCTAAGAGATGCTTAAGACATTTAGCCCTTTTAAATAGGAACTGAGTTATGCATATAACTAAACAGACAGGGAGTCAAGTTCAGAAAGGTACTTAAATACAATTCTAAACTTTAAGCATATGGGTCATCTTACTGAAATAATTGGAATTATTCGTTTGCTCAAACATTTCTGAAGGAATCAATTGAACAATTTCAGTTAAATAAACTATTATAGTTCAAAAAATGAATAACATACACATTAGCAGCATTATTTCCAGAATACTTTGGTCCCTCAACAATGTAACATTTAATTTTAAATACAAAATATAATTGGTCAGTTCCATGACACAAAGATCTGTTTAATTATTTTATTCAAAAATGAAGAAGGGTCTATTTCTACAAAGCCCTGAAAATTGGCCTGTATTTTCAGAGATGCTGTCTTTTCAAAAGATCCCCCTTCTAGATTTTAAGGTTTTAAGATCAGGTCATACTTTTTAACAGTTCTATAGAAAATAAACTGTTATGGGGAAAAAAAACAAACAAACCTGAAATATCTTGCAAATTTACTTCCCTGTTCTTTAGACAGTTTTGAAAAACAAATTAATATGTAAGGCCAAATAACCTCACGAGTTACAGCCTTTAAGTTTTGGAGTGTTATCTCCATTTATTTATTTATAAAAGGGATACAAGCCCACAAAAATACAACAAAATATGAGGGTAATGACATAACAAATTAGGACACTTTAGTTTAAGAATAACTGTTTTGGTTTTTAAACTCATGGTATTTAAAAGCTGAATGGAAATGAGGCAAAGATATTTATTTTCTAATAAGGGAAACAGACAAAATAAATATGCCACATTTATACCACATCCTTAGAAATATTTCTTTGAAGCTTATGAGTGTTTAGTAAATTACAGATTCTATGTTCATTATTTATTTATTTATTCTTCACTTATGCAACGGAATCTGGAAGCAAACGTAGATTAGCTCTGTATTAACTAGAGATACCTTATGCTTCTTCAGAAATATACAGATTTCCTAAGTGCTTAAGAGTCCTAGTCAACCCAGTCCACACCAGAATCCATTTTGCTAAATGCTGAACAGAACTACCTGTGTTAAGCAGGTACTAATCACAGTATTTTTATCGCTCTCCATGTGCTCAGAAATTAATTTCTTACTCTTTATACTGAAACTACATGGTTAATCCTCCCTTCCCCTCAAAACTGCTTCGAAAATACCAAAGTATGTTTCTTTTTAAAATACTTTCTTCTCACATCTACTTGAGAGAAAAGTAAAGGAATTGTTATTTTTCTACTATTTTAAATCAATGGAAAATGCACACTTACAAATAAAATGTGTGATTCAGTTCATGATTCTTATTGGATTTAGCAGCAGAGATTAAAGAGGTTACTGGTAATTACCTCAACTGGCACAGCTAAATCCAACAGAGATCACAAAGCTCTTCCCAGCTGCATTTCACAGCCTGGTGCATTACAAGAGTGAAGCCAATTGGTCCCAATGCAGCTGGCTGGGAAGAGCAACGCCTGAGGACTAGACACACCACCTGGTCCAGAACTTCTCTTTCAGGGCTTCCGTTTCACAAGAACAAACATCATTTGGGGATGAGAACCTTCGCAACCACTCCAGCATGGACTGCCAGGGCTTCTGAGATTGTGAGATGATACTTTTTTTTAAACTCTTCTTGAAATAATGACCACTGAAATAACGAGCATGTAAAAGTGCAATACACACATACATACATACATACCCACACACAAAACTTTTCAATTTTCCCATGAATAACAGTGTTGAAAGACAATGTGCCTCACAATACATTCCAACCAAAATCTCAGGCTGCATTTGTACTTATGAGTGGTAAACAGTTTTTTATAAAAATTACAAAAACAAAAGGATGAAATCTTACTGCCACTGACCTCACTGGAGGAAGGTTTCATCAGAAGCAAATATTTCATGACCTTCAGTACTCATGAAAGTTCAATATCAGAAATAATTATTTTAAACTCTTCATATTTGATATAAATAGAAAGCCTTCTTTTAAACAGACCATGCAACCTAAAAGTACTCTGCTGAGAAGAAAAATAGCAGAGAAAAATCAAGATTTTACTTTGTAAAGTTAATTTCTCCAGGAAGTTTCAACTTTCCTCTTCCAAGATAAGCTCACAAAGCATAACATATGAAAGAACGCATCTTAAAACTGATATATTTTTCCCTATTCCAGTCTGAAACAATGTGCTCATCTGTTGAATTTAGATGTTTAAATGTATTCCAAACCAAATTTATCCATAATTCACAGCATAAAACTTAATCATATCCTAAATTCTCTGTATACCATCCACAAGCAGCTTCAGGTCAACTTCAAAATTAAACACTGTGAACCCTTTACAAAACATCATTTTTTCAGAACTGAATTACCAGTTCACAAGTACAAGAGTAAGAGATTTAACAGAACAAAACAAAAAACAAAAATTAAAAATAAAATAAACAAAGGAAAGAAAGCAAAATAAAAACAGAGACAGGGCGTCCATCTTCAGCAGGCCAGACTTCGATCTCATTTCCCCCATGAAGATTTCACTTGGCGTCAGGTTTAGTGGCATGGCAAACAATGCCTAACTCAGGCAAGTGTAACAGGTCTGCCTTGGCCAGTCTAGTCATCTAATAATGCACAAATATCACACAGAGAAAACATACAAAACCAAATTAATAGTCAAAATCCATCTACTAGACAATGTGGACATAACATTTAGAATTATTAGGGTGGTATCTCTGTTTATCTTTCAACCTTTGTGTTCTCTAAGTATACTGTTTAAAGAAAAACCTAATGATACACACAAAAGAAAGTTATATTTTGACAATGTGATAATGTTAATTCATTTACAATTATATTTTTGTTAAATTGTTTATTAAATGTCACAAAAATAACATTGTTTTCATTGTGTAGTGATTCCTTCCTCGGACTTTTAATTTAGCACTGTTTAAATACACTCCAAATTTTAGATTTTATTGTTTTTTAAAACTAAGTTTTCATAGTTGCATTTTACCCCTCCTATATGTTTGATTCAGCACATGAAAGGTTTTATTGCTGGCACTGTTGGCCATGGATATAATTTAACCTTCCAGTAGAATATATAGCCATTGTTACTTTTAAAGCCCATGATACACTCTACTGACTCCGTTAACAACTATACATAGTGAATAAAAAATGTTGCACTATGGTCTCAAAAGCCATGCTTATCCCACAGAATAAAGTTTTCAGAAAGTTAAACCTATATGAATTCACATCTTTATAAATTAAAAGTAGTGATTCTGTTAGAAAGTTACATGGAGACAGCATTATGACTTGAAAAAAAATTTGACCTCACAACCCAATCACTTGTTCACCTAATTATGTCTAAATCTCCAGAATGGTCTAGAACGGTGACAATTTTTCTGTAATACATTTTCTGAGAAATGCCTAATAAGTCAACTACAAACAGGGCTGGAACAAGATTTCTCAGAACTTTGATTTTATTCTCCTTCCACTCGTCTACCACCAAGAGACAGGAAAATGTAGCTTTACCTGCCTGTTGCCATATCACATTAGGCAATGATATCATTGCAAGAAAAACACCAGGAAGTGTTGTTCATTCATTAGGCAGCAATCTTTCCTCTCTGGCAGTACTGAACCAGTGTTACGGTCTTTTTAATGAAACATAAAACTAAGATCCTGAAGAATTTGCAGTCAATTACTGAAGGGCAATTTTTCAATTATTAGGACTGTCCTGATACATTTTGCCTACCCAAAGCCTCTACAAAGCTTCAAGTGGATATGGCAATATCCTTAAGAACAAGTCCCAAAATAAAACCAAAAACCCCCAAAACAAAGCATAAAAGCAACTAAAACTCTAGGCTTCAAAAAGACTTGTTAATATGCCCATGTTAACAAGGTTACAAGAACAGACAGTATACTGTAGGTCATCTTAAAGTCTATGAAATTTTGGAGACTTGTCAGAGTTTGCTAGGAACACCCCAGACTATCATTACAGCAGCACTAATCTCATACTATCCAGATCATGATGTGGCAAACATGCCAAAAATGGCACTCTGGGACCACTGTTAACAAACTCCAAGAAGTCAACAGTACTTTTTGAAACAAAACCTGACTCTTGCAGTTATAAAAGTCCTGTTAATAGGAGATATTTCTGGATTTGCTGCAGTTTATGGAACAATCATTCTAAATATTGTTGTTCATGGTAAAACAGCTACCATGTGAAGTTACCTTCACTCCACCAGCTGGAATGCTTCCACTTGAAAGAGGTAAAAAAATCCAGATCCAAATGGGCAGATGCTCAATTCCCACAGTGATCACAATGAAGTCAATGGGGTTCTGCCTAACTCCAGTGACCTGCCTACAGTAAGTAGAGCCATGCTTCATAGAACTGTATTCAAATCTGGGATAGTATACTAACATTAAGAAATACCTTGTATTCAACATATGTAAAAGCAGGACCTCAAAGCTAGTTAAAGGAACACTTGTAAATTTAGCATTCACCAAGCATTTTATTTTATTAAGAGTTATAAAAATATTTAACACTAGAACCATTCTGTACAGTTGACTGCATTTTTAAAGATATCTAAAATCAAAGAAGAGTACCAATATACATAAGAAAGCCTTTTTATTGCACACAAAGTAATATTTTCCACAGGAACAAGAAAGGAAAATTGAAATGTTTTTTATTAAATTAGCAAGTAAATATTTATATTCAAACAGCAATTATCACCACAAATGCAAAATATTTAAGATTAAATGAATCAAAAATGGTCAAATGAATATATCACATATCTACAAAACAAAATCGGGATTTGGTCTAAAAAAATTGAAAAATAATTAGTATTTAAAAAAAAAAACAAACCCCAAAACACCATACCAAGGGCGACACATTAAGATCCAAACTGCAGTGTTATCACAGTGCCAGGAAACTGTTTTATCTTTTCAGTGCTCCATTGACTTCAGATAGAACTTTGTGTGGGAATAAGCTTGCCAACACAAACCATATTGAAGGGTATTATTTTACCTTCTTTTCCCAAAAAATATGTAATAACTGTGGAAAATTGAATTATCCTAATTTAAATCAACTATTTTTTTTCTAATGCTGGATTTCAATTTAATCTATACAATTGGGTTTCTTCATTCAATTTTCAATTTTGTTTCAAGGTTTTTTTTTTACAGAAATAAAATAAAATAACAACAGAGCACTGCCTCCTTACATAGAAAGCTTAAAACAATTCGCAGACAGGACAAAGACCATTACAGAAGAATGTCTAAAATACCAACCTTCTGCACAGGGCACAACTATCAAAGCTCTGTCAATAAAAACTGTGTTTGTTAGATGCTGGGCCACACCAACACTTGATGCTTCACGAAACTTAATATAACATACTTTGGAGGAAAAAGTAAGAGGTGCATTGCTGCAAGATAAAAGGAAAAAAACCAATTAGCCATATTAAATAAATGTCTGCATATATTTTCAACTATTATCTCTTAATTGAAAAAGTTTTAGATTTCCTGGAAAAGTTACACAAAAAACAAGTATAGAAATTTAATGATTTGCCTACTTAAAAATTTACTAATTTTTACAAAATTTACAAATTTACTAATTTACCTTGTGTCAGAGACTGAAATGGTTAATGATTTACGCATTCTAGGATGCCAGGGGACTTTTGCAGGCTGGGAAGAGGCGGCTGCTGGCCCATCAAAGCCCGTCCCCCTGCCAATCCTGAAAGGTGGGGGGAAAAAACCCTTTTACCATACCCCTCACAGGAACTCTGTGCAGGCCCAGGACGCGTTGGAGGCTTGTGGCATGGCCCGTGACACTATCCATTGATATAATAACTCATAACTTCTTTGAGTGTGGGGGCTTCCCTCCCCCATCCCCAACAGAACAAGACCATCACTTAAACTAACAGACATGGAAGCTGCAACTACCAAGTTCCATCGCTGGACCCCATGGGCAGTGACTATATACATTTTTCCACTCTCATCTTTTCTTTCCCTTACTCTCCCTTACCCTTATCCTGTCTTTTCCTTTCTCTCCCTTATGCATTTTCCCTAAAGGGTATCTTTATACCATATTGCTAGAGATGAGAGATATAGATGATAACACCCAAAATGGCAACATACATGTTTACCTTTGAAACAAAATTGTTCTAAAATAAACCCTACATATATATATGTTTTCAAACACCAATTATTCAGTGTCATTTCACTCTAATCCACCCCAAGGGATTTATTAATAAGAACCTGGGTTACCCCCCCCTTTCTGGGGTGGGTCGTAACACCTTGTCACTTAAAAATGCATAGTATAGCCCCTCCTCCTTTTTAATGGAAATTTACAGAAGCCAAAATCCCAAATTAACAAGGCTGAGTTTCTTTATGAATCTTGCTAAACAAAATTACATTACTATTGTAAATACCACCTTTACACAACATATTTGGAGAGTAAATAATTTATAGTTTATCTTTTATCCTCCAAATAAACCTTGTTTAAGAAAGTCCAACAAAGTGTCCAAAGGAGGGCTATGAAGATGGTGAAGAGTCTAGAGGGGAAGCCATATGAGAAGCGACTGAGGTCACTTGGCCTGTTCAGCCTGGAGGAGACTGAGGGGAGACCTCACTGCAGTCTGCAACTTCTTCACAAGGGGAAGAGGAGAGGCAGACACTGATCTCTTCTCTGTGGTGACCACTGACAGAACCCAAGGGAACAGCATGAAGCTGTGTCTGGAGAGGTTTAGGTTGGATACTAGGAAAAGGTTCTTCACCCAGAGGGTGGTTGGGCACTTGATCAGGCTCCCCAGGGAAGTGGTCACAGCACCAAGCTGTTGTTAGGTCTTCGTTCACTAATGTAACAAAAATCCTTTTTATCATCTGCTGGAGCTGCCCTGGGAGGTGAATCAGCTGACTAAGGGGTAGAACCCAGCCCATGCCCGAGGGATTTAAATGATTGCTAGGAATGCCAGCGACCCAGAGCCCGGCGAACAGGAGCAAGCAAACAGGGACCTGGCACAGCAGTTAGTGAGGCAGTTTACACAGGCAGGGCAAGCAGGAAGGGCACAGCCAGCTCCCAGCTCTCTCGGGTGAGCTTTTTTTTCTTTTTTTTTTTTTCCACAACTCAACTAAAGCCAGTAATGGTTTCCAAAAAGTGAAAGTCGTTGTTGCAGTGTTTGAGCCTGGCGTTAGTACCTGAGGACAGTGTGAGTGGGGTCTGTGTATGGTGCAAGCAGGTGAATGATTTGCTGTGCCTGGTGGCAGAGCTCAAGAGGTAGAGAGGCTAAGAAGTATTAGGGAAAGTGAAAGGGAAATTGACTGGTGGAGTCGCACCCTTTCGACCCCAAAAGAAGTCCAGCAGGAGATGGTGAAGCCCTGCCCCTCCTGCCATCAGGCAGATGGAGCAAAACAAGTAGATGGGGGGGAACGGAAACAGGTCCCTGACCGGAGAGGTAAAAGAATCCCCTCCCAACCCCCATCACCTCCCTGGGTGCCCTTTAAGAACAGATATGAGGCCCTGGACCCAGAGAATCAGGTAGAGGACAGACAAGAGGAAGATCTGTCTGGAGGGTCTCCTGGTTGCACCCCGTCTACCAGGTGGATTACAACCACAGCTATAAAGAAAAAAAAGAAGGGTAGTTGTAGTCGGTGAGTCCCTTCTGAGGGGAACCGAAGGCCCTATATGTCAACCGGACCCATCCCACAGGGAGGTGTGCTGCCTTCCCGGGGCCAGGTGAGGGATATTAGTAGGAGTCTCCCTGAGCTAATTCAGCCCTCAGATTATTATCCACTGTTGGTAGTCCAGGCTGGCAGCAATGACATTAATGGAAGAAGTACCAGGACGATTAAAAAGGATTTCAAGGCGCTGAGTCGATTAGTTAATGGGACAGGAGCACAGGTGGTGTTCGCCTCAGTTCCTGCAGTAGCAGGGATGAATGAGGAGTAGGAAAACCCATCTTATCAATAGGTGGCTAAAGGATTGGTGCCACCAGCAGAATTTTGGGTTTTTTGACCATGGGGCAAATTCCATGGTACCTAGCCTGCTAGAGTCAGATGGGCTTCAACTATCTAGGAAGGGCAAAAGGAGTCTAGCCCATAAGTTGGCAGGGTTGATAAGGAGGGCTTTAAACTAGGTTTGAAGGGGGAAGGGATTGAAACTGGGCTCTCCAGAAAGGAGCCTAAGGGTGGACAGCCCAAGTTAAGAGTCAAATCAGCAGCCCAGTTGAAGTGCATGTACACCAATGCACACAGTGTGGGTAACAAACAAGAGGAGCTGGAAGCCATCGTGCAGCAGGAAAGCTATGATGTAGTCACCATCACGGAAACATGGTGGGATGACTCGCATGACTGGAGTGCTGCCATGGGTGGCTACAAGCTCTTCAGAAGGGACAGGCAAGAGAGGTGGAGAGGTGGAGGGGTGGCTCTATGTGTTAGAGAGTCTCTTGACTCTGTGGAACTTGAAGTCAGTAACAATAAGGTTGAGTGCCTGTGGATCAGAATCAGGGGGAAGGCCAACAAGGCTGATATCCTGGTGGGAGTCTGTTACAGACCACCCAATCAGGATGATGAGGGTGATGAATTATTCTACAAGCAGATGGCAGATGTCTCAAAATCACCAGCCCTTGTTCTTGTGGGTGACTTTAACCTGCCAGATGTCTGCTGGGAACTCCACACAGAGGAGAAGAGGCAGTCTAGGAGATTCCTAGAGTGTATAGAGAATAATTTCCTGCTCCAGCTGGTAAATGAGCCTACCAGGGATGGGGCTCAGTTTTCAACAGTAAGACAGGTTGTCTTCAGGACAGCTGGCTTCTGGAGCTTGTAGACAGAGATAAGAAGCTGAATAGCCCCCCTGTAATCCAGGAGGAAACAGTTAGTGACCTGCTGAGCCACTTGGATCTTCACAAGTCTATGGGACCAGATGGGATCCACCCAAGGGTGATGAGGGAGCTGGCAGAAGAGCTCGCCAAGCCTCTCTCCATCATCTACCAACAGTCCTGGCTCACTGGGGAGGTCCCAGGTGACTGGAAGTTGGCGAATGTCATGCCAATCCACAAAAAGGGCCAGAAGGAGGACCCAGGAAACTACAGGCCCGTCAGCCTGACCTCAGTGCCTGGCAAGGTTTTGGAGCAGATCATCCTCGGTGCAATCACACAGCAGCTACAGGATGGACAAGGGATCAGACCCAGCCAGCACAGGTTTAGGAAGGGCAGGTCCTGTCTGACCAACCTGATCTCCTTTTATGATCAGGTGACCCACCTGGTGGATGAGGGGAAGGCTGTGGATGTGTCTACCTGGACTTCAGCAAAGCCTTTGACACCATCTCCCATAGCATTCTCTTGAAAAAGCCGGTCACTAGTGGTGTCCCCCAGGGATCAGTGTTGGGCCCAGTTCTGTTTATTATCTTTATTGATGATTTAGATGAGGGGATTTAGTCCACCATTAGCAAATTTGCAGATGACACCAAGCTGGGGGGGGTGTCGATCAGCTGGAAGGCAGGAGGGCTCTGCAGAGGGACCTGGATAGGTTGGAGAGTTGGGCTGATTCCAACAGAATGAGGTTCAACAAGGCCAAGTGCTGGGTGCTGCACTTTGGCCACAACAACCCCATGCAGTACTAAAGGCTGGGGACAGAGTGGCTGGAGAGCAGCCAGGCAGAAAGGGACCTGGGAGTTTGAATTGATAGGAAGCTGAACATGAGCCAGCAGTGTGCCCAGGTGGCCAAGAAGGCCAATGCCATCCTGGCCTGTATCAGGAACAGTGTGGCCAACAGGTCCAGAGAAGTGATTCTTCCCCTGTACTCAGTGCTGGTGAGGCCACACCTCGAGTACTGTGTCCAGTTCTGGACCCCTCAGTTCAGGAAGGATATTGAGGTCCTGGAGCAGGTCCAGAGAAGAGCAACAAGGCTGGTGAAGGGACTTGAGCACAAGTCCTATGAGGAGAGGCTGAGGGAGCTGGGGCTGTTCAGCCTAGAGAAGAGGAGGCTCAGGGGAGACCTCCTCACTCTCTACAACTACCTGAAAGGAGGTTGTAGCCAGGTGGGGGTTGGTCTCTTCTCCCAGGCAACTATCAGCAAGACAAGAGAGCATGGTCTTAAGCTCTGCCAGGGGAGGTTTAGGTTAGATATTAGGAAGAAATTCTTTACAGAGAGGGTAATTAGGCACTGGAATGAGCTGCCCAGGGAAGTGGTGGATTCTCCGTCCCTGGAGGTTTTTAAGATGAGACTGGATGTGACACTTAGTGCCATGATCTAGTAACCACAGCAGTAGTGGATCAAGGGTTGGACTTGATGATCTCGGAGGTCTTTTCCAACCCGGCTGATTCTATGATTTTATGATCTGCCTTAGTTTGGCATAGTGTGGTACAGGATAACACTGGAGGAGGTAGGAGGAATTCAATATTAGACTAGAATAAAGAAGGAAATTAAA